AGTGTTAATGTGAGACTCTTACAAGAATGAAACCCAGCTCTGATGATGTCCATCGAATGATAGACGAAAGATCAGCACGTTTTCACCCGAAACGAGGGTGGAAGACTCGTGGACTGCGTCAACATGAATATCATATAAAAGCCGAACGGCTGCAGTACAACAATTTTTAACTTCTTCTTATATTCCAATTTGGTCCACTTGATGAGTACCTCATGTTTTGGTTGGATATTATATGCTTTGTTGGGGGGACTTTCATTTCGTATGAAAGTGCATGAACAGGAGATTCATGTGTCGAGCTCAAGAAGAGCACGATTTAATTGAGGATAAACAAGCTGAGACCTTTTCTCATGTCCTATTTGTGCCGTTATGCCTCCGTTCAAAAGAGATTGGCGGATAAGTAAAGCAGTGGGGCATAAAACAATGTTCAAAGAAACCCTCAGACTTTTTAGAGAGAAATATGACCCATTATCGAGATCCGGTTGGTACAAAATTGTTTGCTAATGGCGAGACATGCCGACCCGTTCGACAAAGATCGGAGGAACACAAAACTGCTTAGATGAGATGTAGTTACCCAATTTCGTTAAGGGTGATGAAAGACTGGCCGTAGAATTTTCCCACAATGACACGAGTATAGCTGACGCTTCCAGTGAATTTAACATAGCCTTGCTTTGCCAAAAGTTGTTCTCATCTTTGGTGGACTGCAGTTTCGACTTCAAACAGGTTTTCTCAACACCTCCAGCGGGATTCTAACCCTGACAGTGCAGCATGCGAGCGTGACACATGAACCACTCATCCACATTGCCACGAGTGCGCTTGGGTCGCAGGTTAGATGTGAATTTCTCATATAACCGATTAGATGGTAGTCTCGAAAGTCTACTTATATACGAAAAATAAGTAATTTAATCGATTGTTATAGCAAAAATATGTTTGCTTCATCGACAATCGCAAAGTGCCAGATTGCATGCCTTTTCTTGGGAGGTTAAACGTTAATGAGCCCAGACTGAGAGGTTAGGAC